TTACAGAAGCGTTTAGCACTTGAGGACCAAGAAGTATGGTACGCGAAAATACTATGTTTATGCGAAGACGGTGAATTTACGTACTACCGACGAATTAGTCAGCGATCCCGGATGCAACTTAAATGACATGATTCACATAGCATTTCTACAAAGCACATTCGGCTTCCTGGTTATCTCCTTAACTGCAGTTTCCTAAACAGATATCTTCTTTTCGAGTTGATGCAAACTGATCTTCACAAAATCATCGTCTCTCCTCAGCCACTATCTTCGGATCATGTAAAGATATTCCTATATCAAATCCTGCGCGGTCTGAGATACCTCCACTCTGCTGGTATTGTTCATCGCGATATCAAACCCGGAAATATGTTGGTCAATTCAAACTGTCTCCTAAAAGTAAGTTGATTAATGCTTTTCTTTTTGGCGATCTTCCTGCTTCTTTCACCTACTCTTGTAATTAAGCAATATCATCATCAGGTCACCATACAGTGAGTGAGATAAGCTCTGTTTGGGTATCCTTGTTCTTTAAAAGTTCATTTTTTGTCTAAATATTCACCGAGGTCCTTGACCTCACCTACGAGCAATGACATCCACGGATAGGGCGTCCTGCACAATATAGTGGCTATATTCTTCACCCTATTTTCACCGTCGCATTTAGCAATGGTCTCTCTTTCATGCTGTAGATTTGCGATTTCGGCCTGGCTCGTATGGACGATCCAAAGAATCAGGCTCAATTGACCACTGAGGTAGTGACACAGTACTACCGTTCACCGGAGCTCCTCATGGAGACATCACGATACTCCTATGCTGTGGATGTATGGAGCGTTGGATGCACATTCGCCGAACTCCTCAGCCGAAGAATTCTCTTCCCGGTAAGACTGTTTTGGACAGTCTACTGTTTGATGCGTAAATTGGCGTTCATCATTGAACACTGGTGCTGACTCATCCATATTTAAGGTACCAACTCTCAACCTACTTTACTGTCTTTAGCTCTCATTAGTCCCTGTGGAAACTTTTAACCCTGTGATCCTTTCCTACATTCAATATGTTGATTGCGGGAAACGCGACTTTCAGAGTAGGTATTTGCCTCAAACGGTTACAATTTCCCTAGGCTCAAGGGCCACTGGAACAGCTGGAACTCATCGTAAATTTGACCGGCACACCAACGATAGAAGACCTGGAGAATTGCCACCCAGAAGCATGCTGTTTCGTTCTCTCCTTCCGTCCACGTCGTCCCAATCTCGCGTTCTTCTACTCTCTCTCACCAGATATGACTGGAGCAGCTGTGGATCTTATTTCTAGCATGCTTCGTTTTAACCCGGTGAGTTTACCATAGTAGTGAAGAATTTGACGCATGCATGCCTTTGTTCTTCGGTTTCCTTTGCCTCAGCTGAGTCAACAATTAGTGGGCAGAGGACCGCTCCGTCCAATCTACTCATTTCTCTTTCAAACATGTGCGCACTGCCATTTTAGAATGCTTTGTAGACTGTCCTATAGTGTAGATAGGCAGACAAACTTGAGTTGGCGCATGCTAAGGCGCGATGTGGGACGACTGAGTCAGCTGTAAGTGTCTATGTGTTGCGCTTGTTGCGCCTTCCTACCCGCCTGTCTGTCCACCTTCTCTTCCCACTGCGCTGGTCTGCGCGTGTTTGCCGCAGGTTACCGGTGCCCTGGTGCTGTGCGCGGATGCAGTGGCCTTACTTTTGGAGGCCTGGAGAAATGCGCAAGTGCGCTCCACTTGGCGACCTTGCCCCAACCACCGTCACGTACGGAGGAAGTGGGACATATTTAGTAGCCATTTCTGACAAATAATATCTCCTAGCGGCTCAAGTAGAATGCAGCAGAACTGAACATTAAAGGCCAAAAAATGATAATGAATTTTAGCACTGGCCTATTTGAATTTAATAAGAATCCTGAAGCTATCGAAGTGTATGTTGTTTGGGCCATTTCCGATTTTGCAGGCTTAGCGCAGGAAATCAACGCACACACGCACAATTTCATCAACGACAATGCTTCCAGATGGTTTCAGCGTGGGTACTCGATCCTATGCAGTTGTTAGTTAACCAGCCCTAATTTTAAGGCAACGAAAAGCTAAAATTATGACAGTTAGATTTTGCCGCAAAAAAACAACTTTATTTCAAAAAGGATTAAGGAGTTCGAACTAGGATTCAAGTGACGTATGAGTAAGTTAAAATACGTAAGGCAGGCAAAAAAATAGACGAGAAACCAATTGAACTATTTAATTAAGAGTTTTGGAAAAACGATGAAATAGAATGAAGCGTTCTTATTCAATGATTCGCATTTAAAAATGTATCACACTC